GGGGCTCCTTGGGGGCGGGAAGAACGAGAGGGGTAGAAGGGAGAGGCTGGGGTGGGAGGCGCGGGGGGAACCCTCTCCCCGGTGGTCTCCCCGGTGAGGGAGGGCTACGGGGAGAGCGCTTGGGGGGGTTATGGGTGGAGCCCCCTCCCCAAGGCGAGCTGGGGGACGAGAGGGGAGCCGAGGGGGGGTTACGGGCTGAGCCCCATCCTCGATGTCTCCCCAGCTGGGGGGGTTCTGGGGTGAGCTCGGGGGAGGGGGGGGTTATGAGGGGAGACCCCTCCCCATGGAGGATCGGGAGGCGGGAGGGGAGCCAGGGGGGGTTACTGGGGAGGCTCGTCCCCGGTGGTCTGTGTGGCGGGGAGGCAGCCGGGTGGGGGTCCCGTGGGAGGGGGGGGGGGGGGGGGGGGGGGGGGGGGGGGGGGGGGGGGGAGCCCCGTGCGGGGCAGGGCGCGCCCACACCCCCCGCGCCGCGCGCGCCTCCGCCGCTTCATTCATAAAATCCACGGCGCGCCGGTTCCTCGCGAGCGGGGCCGTCCCCGCGACCCCCATCCCTTCATCCCCCCCCCACCCCCGGCCTCCCCACCACCTTCCCCACCCTCAACACCCCTCAGCCCCGCGCTCCCCCCGCGCAGAGGGGCAGCGAGGCTCGCCCCCCCCACACACCCCGCCGTCCCCGCGCCTTGCACCCCCCCGTGTCGCCCGCCGCGTCCCCCTCCCCGGTACCTCCGACGCAGAGCAGCGACATGTCGGCGGTGGCGGCGGCGGTGGCGGCGCGGGGGGCGCGGGGGGCGCGGCCGCCGCCCGGCTCTAGCGCGCCGCCATCTTCCCTCCCTCAGCACCGCGGACAGCGCCTGACGTCACCGCCGCCCCCGCCCGCGGCCCCGCCCCCCCGGGACCCCCCCGGGACCCCCCCGGGACCCCCCCGGGACCCCCCGGGCCAGGCGGGCAGGGGGTCGGTCCGGGGGGACGGAGGGGCTGTCACAGACCCTACCGAGGGTCCCGCACAAATGGGGGGGAGCAGGGAATGTCTGGCCGGGGTGGGGGCGCTATCCTGCCCACCCTGCACTGGGGGGGGGTGTCTGGCTTGCCCAGCCCCGGGGGTCGGTGGGATCAGTGCTGCCCGCCCCGCCCAGGGGGCTGTCTGGCTTGTCCGGGGGTCTGTCGTGCTCTCCTGGCTCCTGGAAGGGGGTGTCACCTGGCTTGTAGAGGAGCTCGGGGGCCTGTCGTGCAATAGGGGCGGGGGGGGCTGTCCGCGGGGTGGAATCTCTCCTGCCCACCCTGCAATTGGGGGTGTCAGGCTTATACAGCCTTGGGGGGCTGTCGTGGTCTCCTGGCCCCTGGGAGGGGCATGTCATCTGGTTTGTACAGCTTTGGGGGGCTTCTTGGGGAGGAGAGGGGTGTCTGTCCGGGGGGTGGGATCTCTCCTGCCCACCCTGCACCTGGGGATGTCATGCTTGTACAGCCTCGGGGATCCTACGAGTTCTCCTTCCCCCTGAGAGGGGGATGTTATCTGGCTTGTACAGCTTCGGTGGGATCTGTGGTGGCCACCCTGCACCAGGGGCTGTCTGACTTGAACAGCCTTGGGGAGCTGTCATGCCTTGCCCCTGGGAGAGAGTATCACCTGGCTTGTGCAGCCTTGGGGGTCTCTGTCCTGCCTGCACAGCCCTAAAAGGGGGGTGCACCATTTACCTCATCCCCCCAGCAGGCATGGGGGAATTTGCAGCCCTCAGGGGGCTGCTCCTGTTCAGAGATGGGTTTGAGCAGGTGGGGGCACATTGTCGTTGTCACTGCCCGAGACAGTCCCCTCTCTCACCTCGGCCTCCAAATGGCACATCTGGAAGAGATGCTCAAAGCTGGGCAGATCCCAGCTTGGGGGCAGGAGAAGCCTCCACGGTCCCAGGCAGGGACCAGCACGCCAGCTCCACATACTGACCCACATGGGAGGGGTCCCGGGTGGGGGTTAAAGCAGAGACCCCCCAGCTCCATCACTGGGAACATGAACTCAGTTAGAGTTTCCTCCTGTCCCCGTCTGCCTCCCTCCTTGTGTGTGTGCACAGACCCCCTGTGCACACCCTCCAGACCCTCCCACGGGGTGGGAGCAGCTGGCTCAGCCCCAGCCCCTTCCCTACCACATCCATTCCCCTGGCTCTCTGCTTCCTGACTCCCTGCTTCCCAGCAGCTCTGCCCCAGGGATGGCAGAGCAGCCCCGTGCCAGGGTGGGTGCCAACACTGGGCACGGCGACCAGCACTAGGGCTACCTTCCCTCCCCTTGCCACTCTGTGAGGCTCTCACCCCCATCCTGCCTCCCAGTGTGTGTAAAAGCACTTCCAGACTCCCATGAAGTCAGAGCCATGCCCATGGCAATGGATCAGAACTGCTTGGCACCTCCCACCCCCGCCACGTGCCACTTCCCACAGCACCCACCCTCACCACCACCACCCTGGCAGGGCTGCAAGAGGTTCAGGGTCCCCCCCAGATCCCCAGAGAATCCTTCCTTGCAGCCAGGGATGTGCCAGGCCCTTCCCAACCCCTCCAAGGCCTCTCAGTGTATTTTTGACTGCTGTCTTGTGGCATCTCCTCCCCGCTCCTGCCAGCGCCGCAGCCCCAGGGGCAGCGCAGCCCTGCTTGGAGCAGGATGTGTCTCCTCTGCTCACTGTCAGCACATCTCCTGCATGTGCTGACACACGTGTGGGACACGGGCACGCGCACACACACACGTGGGACACACTTACACACACGTGGGGCACATGTACACTCACACATGTTTGTGCTTGTGCACACACACATCAGTGCATGCACACTCACATCGTCACACACTGCCTGAAAACCACCCTCCCCGAGCCAAACAGCACTTCTGGAAGATTCCAGTTAGGAAGATTTTCCTCATTTAGCTCAATCCATCTGGCACCCACCCCACCGAGGGGCCTGCAACTCACTGCTGCTTGATGCCACCTCCAGTGCCCACACCCCAAAGCGTCTCCCCTCCCGCCCTGGCACCCAACACTGAGCTGCTCCCACAGCTCAGCTTCGGGTTTATTTTATGCCCCAAACTCTTGTTTGGATGAAAAAGAGTCGTATTGGAAAGGAAAATGTTCATGAGAAGATCCAGCGTTCTTTCCCAAGAAAAAGGCCTGGCTTTTGATCAAAAATAAGTTTAAAAAAAAAAAAAAAAAAGAGTTGGGAAGCAATCGCCCTGCCTTGAAATGAACTATTTCCAGGAGCTGAATTCCTGCAACCTGCCCCTGGTGGTGCTTTCCTTCCCACACAGCCATTTCACCCATCCCCACATCCACACTGGTCCATCGTGGTGCTCCTAAGACCCCAGGCAGCAGGATGGCCTCCCCCCCAACATTTTCTTATCTAAATATCTCCAAAATGTCATCAAATCTCCATAGCTCAACATAAATCCAGCTTCTCCCATGACTCCTGGGCTTTGAAAGCCAAAATAAAACCATCAAACCTCCTGAAAAACTTCCTCAATCCCCACGCCAAACCCCTGGGTTTGAAAAAACCTGCAGGAGGGCAGACTGGGGGCACAGGGGGAAGGCAGGAAACCAGCAGGGACTGATTTGTCCCAGTGGGCAGCACCAGGAAGGATCCAGCTGTTCCCGAGGATAACAAAGCCAGAACCAGCAGTTCAGCCACACACATCAGGGGGTGATCAGCCCACAACCCCCAAACTCCAGGCAGTTCCTGGCAGGGTGACTGCTAAATGGACACGGTGACGTGGGCAGCTGCCAGCCCCAAGAGCTTGTGGAGGTCAGAATTCCCTGAGGAGGAGCCAAAGTCTGGGACAGCTCATCCCTGGGTGGGGAGCAGGGAGCAGATTGAGGGGGCAAGGGGGCTGGATCCTTTGGGGACCTCCAGAGAGCACATGACACCAGGGGGGCTCTGTCACCTCCAGGAGCCTCCGACCTCCTGAGGGTCTGGTCACGCTGGGACCAAGTCAGGGTGACAGGGCTGGGGGTGCCCATCACTTTTCCCCAGTGACTGGATCCTGCCCCTGCACTGGGAGCAGAGATCAGCCCCCGCAGGATGTCCTGTATCCATCTCCCCCACAGCCTTGGATCAGATTCCCACACACCCCAACTTCATGGCTGAGTTTCCACAGGGCCAGAGGGGAGAAGGGCCCCCCAGCTGAGTGCACGTGTTGGGGTACACGGGACAGTGCTGGGAAGGGTCACACAGGATCCCATCACCCACCCAGGGATGGATCTGGTTTCAGGGATCCCTGGCGCCGGGGATGGCAGGTGGTACCTGCAGCAGCCCCTCCCTGGGAAGACAAAGCCAAAGCAACTCCCAGATCCTCGGAGATCCCGCACACCCCTTTGCTGTCCCACCCCCTGGGATCCCGCTGTCCCGCCCCCTGGGATCCCGCTGTCCCACCCCCTGGGATCCCGCTGTCCCACTCCTTGGGATCCCGCTGTCCCACTCCTTGGGATCCCGCCGTCCCACCCCTGGGATCCCGCTGTCCCACTCCTTGGGATCCCGCTGTCCCACTCCTTGGGATCCCGCTGTCCCACCCCTGGGATCCCGCTGTCCAACGCCCTGGGATCCCGCTGTCCCACTCCCTGGGATCCCGCTGTCCCACTCCCCTGGGATCCCGCTGTCCCACTCCCTGGGATCCCGCTGTCCCACCCCCTGGGATCCCGCTGTCCCACCCCCTGGGATCCCGCCGTCCCTCTGCCCTGCCCAGCCGCTGGCACAGCCTCTGCCCGGCAGTGACCACCCACCAGCCCACCCGGAGCAGCCGACCCGCCTCCCCGGGGGCAGCCCAGGAACTCCCGGGCTGGGATTACTCCTCGCCTTTATCCAGCTGCTTTCCCCCAGGGCTCGCAGCTGCTCTGGGTGCTTCTGGGGGGGAGAAGGGTCTGCAATGGCACCGGGAGTGGAGCACCATGCCAACCACCTCCCGGAGTAGCCGGAAGGGATGGAGGTGCCGGGCACAGTGGCTGTACCAGTGGCCGGGGGCTCGGTGAGGTGGCAGCTGTGCTACGACACGAGGGGCAAGACCTGGTGGATGGTGAGTGAGGGCGGCCGGTCGGGGGCACGGGGTTGGGTCTCAGACACTTGATTTTGTAAGGGAGGGGTCGACTGCGGGCAAAAGAGGGACTTGGGGCCAAGGTTGTGCCACAGTCCTGGCTGGGACCACGGAAGGGAGGGTTGGGATGGAACCTGCTCATCCATGTGTGTTTGGTCGGGTTGTTTCCCTGTTTCTGGGCGTTCTATTGGTTTTCTATTCCTGCCTGCTGAGCTTGGCCTTGCCCTGGGACACCAGGCTGGGATGTCCTTGCCCCAGCTTTCCCTGGATGCTTTGCTCCCAAGGAGTGTTCTTGGAGAAAACCCTGCTGCTGGCAGGGAACAGCATCTCCCTGCTTGGCTGGGAAGGTCTCTGCTGGTGTGAGCCCCATCCAACCTCTGCCAACCCTACCCAACCCCTCCAGCCCCTGTCCTTGGGATGGTACCTGCGAGGGGATCTGAGTGTCTGGCTGGCTGGCTGGCTCAAGGTTTGGAGCTTCACCTTAAACTGGACTGAAGGGCTGCTTTGAGTCCAACCCTGGGCTCGTGTGGGGAAGCAGAGGAATCCCCCCACAGCTTCACAGTGAGAGCTTGAGACAGGGAATGCAAGTGCCCAGGCTCCCAAAGCACCCCACAAGTCTCCCATGCTGGGAGTGCTGGGATTACTGGGATTACTGGGAAGCAGACAGGCTGAGCAGATTCCTGCCAGGAAGCACAAGCCACTGCCAGAGCTGCAACTTGGACTTGTGAGGGAACCCAAAAACCCATCTGTAACCAGCACAGAGAGCTCAGAGAGGGACAAA